AAATACTTTAACAAATGGAATGTAAGAAAAAAAAAAGTTAGTTACGCATTAAAATTTTTTATCTGCTGGGACTAAAAGTTTCTGAATGTACGAAAAAAAGGTCTTTCTCAACAATTATACAGTAAAAACTTTGTTATTCAGAATCTTCACATTGGGAAAGCTCTAGAAATGGGAAATTTCAATATCTCCAAACACAAATGTTCAATGTAGCTTAGTGGTGCAGAGAAGACTTTGTTTATTTTCTTTCCTGCTGGCAAGCTTCAGTTGTTAGCCACCTGTATAGTGATTCTCATTCAAAATATTGTACTTTGAACATTAATGAGGTGATATAATTTTTCATGTACAATATTGTAAGGAAAACGCTTTGTAACCAGGATTTTTGCCTATCCAGCACTGCACAGGTCAGAACAGGTGCCAGATAATAAAGTTTTTACTGTAAATAGTTCTAGAAGGAAGAGAATTGGAGATGAAAAAATGTTTTTGGTAGTGCATGTAGGAACTTGTTCATGACGTACTTATAGAAAGTGAGAATCCTGATATAAACCACAGTGATAAAGTCATTCTATGAAGTTGTGATTTTAACAAGTACATGTTCTTTACTTTAAAAAATATGTTAACCTTGTTTCCAGATCTCCACAAGATATTATAAACAACTGGCTGTATCAGAAATAATATAAAAAACACTACAAAGTGATATAACACTTACTGGAGTTTCTGGGTTAATAGGAAAAGACTCATTCACACTAACCCCCAGCCCAGGAACTGTAACTTCTCCTGGAATGGACCAGGTGGAATGAAGAGCTTTGCGAACCTTCTTGTTTGGAAAAAAGTTCTAGAAAACAAAATGCTTACAATTAGCAAAATTAACAGTTATTGTTTTAATCAACAAGTAACTAAAACTCACAATATAAGCAACTTTTTTAATCCTAAAAAGATTTTCAAGGACTCCTACCTTGTTTGAAATAATTGTGTAAAAAATTATCATTTTGTGTTCAAAGATGGGCTTAAATGAACAAAAAGAGTTTAAGTGATACAAAGTAGAATAATGCAGAATGATTTATATGTACGATCTTCTAGAAATAAATCTTTGATTGTGGTTGTAAAACCAGAATATTGAGATGAATTAAATGAACATCGCACCACTTGGAAATATTATTTACTACTTTGATTTAGAGCATATTTATATATCTGCAACTACATTAACTCAGTTCGATTAGAGCCAAGTATACATTTGTTTGAATGTAGACATTGCTTCTTACAGACCAAGATAAAATATATAAAATTACGTCTACAAAATTTTCTGCAATTCATAAAACAACAGAAATATCTTTTCAGAGTGTATTACATGGATGAAATGAATACTTTACTTTTAATGAAAAAATCTTCAAGGAGACAAATCTTCCCACTAACCTCTTTATTTCCTTTCCTTTTGACCGTACCATAGCCACTGTCATGAAGTGAGTAACTGGATAAAGGTACTGCTGACAGTTCATCATAATTAGACTTGGTGTTGATAGTAAATGACTCTTGCTTAATCAGTTCATGGATATCTTCAAGTTGCTGAGATGGTGAATGAGGCTGGCACAAGATAACATATAAAAGATGAGAACAAAAAAATTTTTACCCTTTACTAAAAACAAAGCCAACATAGTACAAACAATGCATATCAACCTAATTTAATTTATACTCTAAAAATAAGTTTACAGTTATTTTAATTAATTTTTCAATGGTTTTTTCAAACTTCTGTTACTCGCAATCAATGAATCAAAGAGCAAACACTTTAACTGTACATTAACTGAGCCAGATTTATTTTATAAAAGGTTTTGTTCAAAACCAACAATAATTTCTGAAGCAAAAGCCCAAGTACAATGGCATTTAAACACAGTACATACTGAAAGTAAATAAAAACATTTATCATACAGTTGTTAAAATAAGGTGAACTGAAGAATATTTTTATACAAAAACCTTCTCACAAAATAAGGCATTTGGCAAAAGAAACAGTGACCAACTTGAAACTGCTTTTTTTTTTTATACAAAAGTAATCAGATAATTTCATCACATTGAAAAATATCAAAATGATAATATTCACTTAAAACTCAGTAGAACTAAATTGAACAAATTATGCACATTAGAACATTTGGAACGCTTCAACTCTCACAGTAGAATTGTTTTAATATTTCACCTAATAATCGTTGGCCATAATAAACTATATATAAATTAAAATTCCTTTTTTAAACAACACATAAAACTTCACCTTAAAAGAACCTTACACTGAGAAAAACAGTAGGAAAATATATAACCACTTAGAATATTACATCATTATAGAGCTAATCTCAACAAATGTTTCTTCCAAAACAGACTAAATGTATAGAATTTTAAAAATATTCAGTAACATACTGTGTGCTTCAGAGGTCCGCTTTTCTTTTCTATCTCTGCTAAAGCATCTTTAAAAGGGGTTGGAGTATGGGGATTAGATTCTGCTAATGATCGGCTCATCTTAGGAGTTTGAAGACTGCTATAAGTTAAAAGTTTATAAAGAACATAAGAGAATTTTGGGCAATAACAGTTTTTAAAACAAATATTTCTAGCTTAGATTAAATAAAATGCACAACATTACTTGACTACATATGTGTAAATTTCTGAAATAATATTATCGGTCACAAAATAAGACAATACAAGTAATTTAACACTCATTCCAATATCTATAACTGCTTTCATCACATTTACGAATTTTTTCTATGTTTCTTAGGTTTAGGACAGTAAACATGTTTCATCTTTTTTATTTGTTGCACATTCATGACAGCCATTAAACACATCTATGAAAAATGATGCCATGTTAACTAAAAGCTTTGTGATTTGGGTGACCCTCACAGTTTCACAAAAGAATGGTGCAGGGAAAAAATGTTAACATATGAAAAAAAGAGTATGACATTCAACAAAAACTGTGATATATAATTTTTGGAATAAATAAAATCCTCTTATAAAAAAAACAGTTGATGAAATCTTTCGCCTTGCAATAAGCTTAAATTTGTTTATTCTTTTATTGAATGAATTTTTTTAAGCAACATTTTACAACTAAAGAGGATGAACAAAATCAAATTGTATTGAAATTACTTTCAATATCACAACTGAAATGTGGTTCTAACAACCTTTAAATATTTGTAAATGCTAAAAATAATTTAGATAAAGCATTTGAAAAATCATGTGAAGGATGAAATGTCAAGCATAATACTGGCTTGTAAATGTCTGATTTATAAACCAAGTAGTCTATGACCTTAACCTTTTACTCTTTAAGATGGTAAAATCTTTTATTTTATACAGCCAGAGACAGATAGAATATGCAATAAGTTAGAAACAAATAATAAAAATGATTGAATGTGTTAAGAACTATTGCTATTTGCACTGGATCTTCAGCCAGATAAACCAGACTAAGCCAGTCTTTGAGCACACTTATTAGGAGATTACTGGTGATTGAGATATTTAACAATGGATAAATTGCAAAAGGAATATAAAACAATTACAAAAAGACATCATATAGCATGAAGTGATTTTTTGGGTAAATAAAACAAAATAAATACCGTACAACAAATAGATTTTTACCTTCCTGCTTGTTCTTGAGGAGTCTGAGGAAGAAGGTAATCTTGTAGAAGTGCTACATGGAAAGATCTATTGCCAAGTGGTGTAGATGTCAGATTCGCACCAAGAGAAAGGTTGGGACTGTTCAAGAACTGAACAAAATTCTAGAGTTCAATAAATCAGTTATATTCATTTTATTTCAGTATTCCACTAACAGTGTATTCCATAACTAAGGGTTTTATACATGAATTATGGGGCGTGGGGGTGGTGGGTTTGTTAAAAAAAATTTACTGGAAACTCCTAGCAAGTTTTAAGAATACTAATTAAGTGCAAGTTTTATCAATGTGCTGAATTCAATCGTTTTAAATGAAAACAAAACTGAAAAGTATTTTATCTATTGCCTTATTTTTTACTTTTTTTCATAAATGTATTATTACTCAATTCAGTATAATTGAAAAGCAAAATAACTTTTGCTAGAAGTATTTGGTAGTTAACTGGAAGTTTTACCGTTAATGTGGGAATATTGTTAAATCCTGATGCCTTTTCATGTTAAATGAAACCTTGTAACAGTTAAAACTGCATAATAATAAAAATTTAAAGCAAACAAATTAGATTTGCAAATGTACATTTGTTGTTATGTTAAACCTGCATAAAAGTTTTTCTTCATTACCCATTCAAGCCATTTCCAAGCAAAATTAGATAAGATTTTAACCAAATAACCCTACAAAAACCTGCCTAGTATCCTCAACTTAAACAAATCTCATAAACGACCATCATGCCCATCTATCAAATCATTGATGATGATGATGATGTAAACAACTTCTATCAGGCTAAAATAACAAGTCATTGTTAATATAAATATACCTACCACTTTACAAAGTTTATCCATACAAATAGTGTCTCTCATTACAATTTTATGCTTGTATTTTTCATATTCACAAACCTGGGATGGTGAAAAAGGAAGTTGTTTGATAGGAGTTTCCTCAGTTGGCGTATTGATCATAACAGTTGACATGGTAGTTGGAAAAGAAGGGGATATTGTCTGGTTTCCCATCGAAAATTGTGAAGAGGACCTTTCATACAACTCTGATGAGAAGATGGTCTGGAAGCCCAGTGAGGGTGGTTTGGCATCGATCAGTGAGGAAGACACAGCCCCAGAAGAAATGTTCCAGTCCTGTAAAGTTGGCCCTGTTGTAGAAGATTCACCTAACTGTGACTGCTGCATAGTCATAGCAAATGTTGGCTGAGATATATTTGACTCTGAGCCTATGTGTGATGACAGATACTGAGAATATTCCCCCAATATACTTAGCTGACTGTTTATTTGATGGTGCTGAATCGGTTGTTAAAGATAGCAGTATAACTGTATTTGTTGTTACACTGTCTTCTCATTTCATCCAATATTCTAATATATAATAAGATACTTTTTTTATTTTTACAGGATTTAGTAGTTATAGTTAATTATACAAGCAATTTTAATGTCAGTTTAAACTGACAATTAGCAGGATAAATTTGTGTGCACTGAACTAAAATTCTTAATAAATTAAAGGATACCATTTTCCTTCTTTTACCTCTGCGCAAGATAGGTGGAGTAACTTGTTTTGCTGTGCTAGAAAGAGCTGTTGTAATAAGTCTTTCTATTTCATTTTGGTCTACTTCTGCATTATGGTTGTACTCTACACAAAATAAATATATCAACCATCAACCAAAAGCTTAGTTGCTGATAATCATTTATTACCAATCCAGTTCCCCAGTACTTAAAACAAAACGTCTATAAGATATTCATTACGAATTCATTTTCATATAACATTCTTGTATGTAGAATTAACAAGGGAGAAAAATATTACTCTTAAATATTTGATAGAAATGGACAATCACAAGAATTTGTTTCAGTTTTAAAAATGTTATCTTAGCTGTCCCCTATTTTGAACTGACAGACCAGAGGGAAGGCAGCTAGTCAACAGCATCCACTGCCAACTCTTGAGCTACTCATGCCTGACTGAAGATTAGGATTTGACTATTACAGAACACCCACAGCCACAAAGCGTTGAGCACAATTTTACAGATGGACCATGAGCCATAAACCCTAGAATCATATGAGTGAGCTAGCCACTTGGCCACATCCAGCCTCAATCATGAGAAAAATTAAGTTCAAAAAGGAATTCATGCAAGAACAAGTGAATATAAATAGTGTATTGGAAATTTTTAATACCATAATCTCTTTTTAAGCACTCACAAATTTCTAAAATCCATCAGGTATCCAATTTCTAAAATAGTCCCACAAAACTTGGAAGGTATATAGGATAAGATTCAGTACGTGCATTGTATTATACATATATACACACACATACATAGCTTAAGGCCAACAAGGAACCTGTTGGTCCATCTAGGCCATCCCATCCTCTCAAATAAACATTAAAAACAAACATTCAAATGCTTAAGTATTCTCTTAAATTCTTTTAAACTTACAGATTCCAAAGCATCTGAACGCAGCCACTCTGTTAGAAAAATAAAGTTGTCTTAGATGAAGATAACTCCTACCCTGAAAAAAAATTTATATTTATGTCCCCTAGCCCTACCATTCTCATTATCAACACTATCAATTCCCTTAACAATCCTAAACAACTCAATAAAGATCCCATCTAATTCTTCTTTTTTCAAGTATTTAGCAGAAATATCAAACTCAGAGATCTATTATTAATATATCATGTTCATTCTACTTCAGAAATGAACAAACAGTTCTCTCAGTCAGTCACATGTGAATGCTTCGAACACCTAAATTTTTGAGTCTTGTTACTGATTTAATAAAGAAACATTGTCTTTGATTTTTGGCTTTTGATACATGTGTATGTTCAGGAAAGTTAGTTAAAATACAGAACATTTTTTGTCACTTGAAAAAAATAGCATACATTTAAAAGTTACCAAAAATGATATAAAAGACAAAAAAAGATTAGACACTGCTATTAAATAGAATCAGTTATAAACTATTAATTATTGCTAACCAAATGTGTCATGTTGCAGTATATAAAACTTGACTCAGGAAGACAGTTTGAAAAGCAGTTATTTTACCCACCTATATCGTAATCGTACATTAGAAACTGTAAAATGAAAACAAATGAAATATTTTAGTTTTAAAGAAATGCAATAGCTGAATGTATAGAATGTTTATAATAATAGCCATAACTAAAAAACACCACCTTATCTAATCACAATTTCACAATCAAAGATAAACTTCAGAATATTTAAAAACACCTGAAACACTGTAAAGTAATGCTCTATGTTTGAGGTATTTGACAAGAGGATTTTAAAACCAAATTTAAAAACAGACAATCATTAGAAAAAAATTATTGTAGTATAATGAAATCCTCAGTCACTTACACACACACACACAAACTTACTATTCTTACCATTAGGTTCTTTTTTCTGGAGACTTGTAAATTTAGTTGGTGTGATACTTGGTATAACATTGGTTCCATTAAGAAGGTCAAGGGTACTAAGTCCATCAAAGCCGCCAGCATCAGGTGTCTTCCCTGCAGCATCTTCAAGTTCTTCCATATCAAACTCTCTATTGGCCCAAATGATCATTGTTAGTAGACTGAAGCATTAAAATTCAGTTTTGAGTAAAGGTCAGAAAGTATCAAATACGACAAACAACAACTTCCAGCTTCAATATTTCTGAAAATATTGAATATTTAACTTACAAAGCATTTGATGAAATATTAGAAAATTGGATAATTGTTATTAAAAAAGTAACACTTTAAGCCACAACGCTTTTTTTTTTAATAAGAATATGCACTGAGGTACAGTGCACGACTTCTTGAAATAATCTATTTTCAAAAAAATTATGCATCAATAGAAATAGCTTTCACTTAAACAAGTGAATGCTTGAAACTTGAAACATTAGGTCATAAATTCTTACCACAAGAATATGAAACTGTAAATAACCAGTACTGATAGAGGTAATTATAACCAGAAACAAAAGAGACCATTGTAACAAAAATAAGTAGAAGTAAGTGTAACTATAACCAGTACTAAGTTAATTGAAATGGCCACAACAGGTAGGATTTTCCCCCTAACTTTCTTCTCAAAAGTTGGGAGTTCTGAATTGTGCAAGTCCAAACCTACACTTGTTAAAGCACGTAAAATTGCTTTGCTTTAATTTTTGTAAGCTAACGATGAAAAAATATTTCTCGTACTGTCATCTATTAAAGATTAGTCTCGCATGCACTTGCAGCCGGAGTAAAAACTGCACATTGTAAATGTATGCTAATTAGCTAACGTAAAGTTTATTATGACTATGTCCATAGCCAATTTTAATCTGGAATATTTTATGTTTTGAAAAAGAATGCCAAAATAGTGAATGTTATGCTTTATAAAAAAAAAAGATAAAAATTGTGATGTTTAAAGCAGTATATGGCCCAATGTTTCATAAAGATTAGTATATTTTGTTAATCACTGCAATCATAAACATTTTGTAATTTTTTTGGCCCCAGAATTAACTGGAACTAACAGTTTTATTAAAAAGTGTAACATAAATGGAGTTGTGTGGTAAACTAGTTATATCTGCCTCAAATTCAAGCCAATCAATCTCAGCTTTTATTTTAAAAACAAGCATGTTTCTTCATTTTACTTTATTCTTATGCAGTTACCAATATAATTTATTTTACACTCAAGTATTATCTCAGTGGTCTCTTAAATAACTGAAATGGTTAAAATCCACAATCCACTACAGAAACCTCGCACCTTAGTGACACAAGCATTTTGTTTGAGCTCAAAGTAACATAATGATCAACTAATTCTTCACTAGCTCCACATGCTCATAACCCAAGTAATGCTAACTTAACTAACATGAATAATGATGCAATGTTGCTTTCACACAGCCAATTAATTAAGTCATTATCTGTCCTTAACGCTTGCCTGGAGAATCCAAAAGTTTCTGCCTCATACTAAGTTCTTTGATTCATGAAATGCAATTACACATGGCAGTGAAATCAATAATAGAACAAATATACAAGTTTCATTAATATCTGTCTCAACATGATATTATTTAAAGAGGTGTTCGGTAAAATGTTGAACACATTAGAAATTTAGATCTACACTTAAATATTTTATTATTAGGTTCACGGTCAGCACTTGACCTGTTGACCACACAGTTACTCTGTACTAAAAGAGAAATGCTTTTTTTCTGACATTTGAAAATTTCTGAATAAAATGTATTTTCAATTTTAATCCTCTAGAACTTTTTCAGGACTCTTGATTAATTGTTATTATTTCAAGTACTTTCCAGGTCTGGAAAATAAATTTACAAATTTTCAAGAATTTCTACACTTTTCCAGGTTGGATACTTAAAATCACAAAGACACACTGCATACTTCACAAATGTACGAGACAGTTTTTACAAACTTGTTGAATCAAATGGTACAATTACATTTTAAAACTTATGAAAGTATTTACTACTGAGCTGAACAACAAAATTAAAACTTAAAATATAAATTTTATTTTTAACATCAAATGAGAATCTGTTAACTCAGCCAAATGATTTTAAGTAGTATATTCAATATTATAACTAAAACTAATCTCATGCAATGGCTGCACCTTTCATAGTGTAGGAAAACAGCATAGTCACCAAGTTCAAAGCTTATTTTTTGGAGACCACTCAATTCACTTCAGAAATATTAGTTCAAAGGCAACATTTTAGCTAACTTTTTTTTATTAATTTTATTAATGTGCTTAAAATTTTTTTTCAGAAGCTAAAACAAATATTTTAAACATCTTGTACTTCTATAAAATTTAACCATAAGGTTACTCAATAAATATATTTAAAACAGTTTTTAACAATATTTTTTTCAATATGCAATATAAGCACACTAAAAAAAAATCACAGTACATACAGTATTAATTCCAAGCATCCAAATGAATCAATTAACACCCACTTTTTTGTAACTTAATGAAAAACCCTAAATCCAAGAACTTTTTGGAAAGTGGTCCTTCTGCATGGGTAAATGACAATTGTGTAATGTGTTATTGTGAAATACAAGCTATAACAAGTTTATGACATCAGTGCAAGTGGTCATATGAATTAGCCAATGGGAAGGAATAAACAGACATGTGCATATGTTATACTATAGTGAGAATAACATTCATGTATAAGTGATATGTTTCAGAAGGGAAATAAATGTGGTAAGAGTCAAACAGCTAAAACTTGGCTAAGTATATGCAAAATACAAGTAAAAAAACAAGAGTATATTACAAATATGTCAACTGTAAAAAATATATATATTATATATGATAAGAATATCTAAACAAACTAATAAAATTAGCCTATACACAAGACTTACTTTAGAGGTGAAAATAAAATTCTCATGTAATCTGGAGAATTAATTTCTTCTGATTTTAGATTTTGTATAGAAGTTTTTCCATTAGAATTTTGAATGCTCTGAAATTCTTCTAAGTGCCACCTTTCAACTGACTGCTGGGGGTATGAACAATAGTCCCTTCTATCTAAATTGTCTCCATGATGATAAATGGGTTGACAACTGGTGCTTGACTCTAAGAGAACATAATGCAATAAAAATAAATCAAACAACCATAATCAATTATCATTAGGATTCATAAAATAAACCAGTCTTAATGATATAACAAGTGTGCAAATTCATATTAAAAATTGGTAACACTTAGAATACTAAATAATCATGCTGCTAAAACTACGTTGAGAAGTTATACACAATTTGCAAGCCTTGATATATATATATTTTAAGGATACAATTAGAGAGATCATAATGAATCAATCTTTGAATACCTGCTTTATAAATGGAGTACTTTACTAAAATTATAAAATACAAACATTCTATTACTATTGAACTGAAAGATCACAATAATGAGCTATCAATAACATAACTGATATACATGTATATAAGTACTGGTGCTTTTTGTTTTGTTTCTGTGAGTCACCTTTACACTGGATTGAACGTACAATTATTATATCACAGTTAAAAATTGAAGACAACTGAAGAAAATACCAGGTTTAAAATCTAACATTTTCTATGTAACACCTTTACTGACAATCGTAAAATAAAAAATCAAACTTGTTTCAATTTATCCTTCATACAACTCAGGTATTGCCATTATTTTACTGAATTACAGAATTCTTAAGAAACAGAGTTTATTGTAATGGGGGGGGGGGCAATTTGAAATCATACACAATAATAAACATACTTCCTTGCAAGTTAGAACTGTTCGATTGATGGAAACAATGCATATCACTCGGGAATTCTGACTTCACTCGATTAGAAGCCTGTTTCAGAACAAAGAAGAAGGTGTAAATCTTGCACAGTGATGAAAATATCCTTAAATAAGATAATATTACATACTATTTATTGTACAATTGCATTAATCAAAAATAATTTCTTAATAACTCAGTATACAGCAGGAAATCCATTCCTCTGCTCTAATTTCATGAAACATTTTAATTTCTAATACAAACCAACAGTGATGAATTAATGGTTTAAGGAAAACTTGACAGCAAAACTTAAATTAAAAAAAATGATTTGAGGTGTTTTTAAAAAAGTGGATAAAATATCATGAAATGTTCAGTTAAATTTTGCCAAAGTATTTAGGAAGTTGTGAGGAAAACTAAATATAGATTTCAAGTCTAAAAAATAATTAAGCATCACTCCATTCTTTGAAAAGATGTTTTTAAATGTTTATAGTCTACAAACAATTAAGTAGTTAATTATCTTATGGGCAGCTAGACTACATTAAATTTTATCATACCTCAACTCATCTCAACAAAACAGTAACAAGATCTCTTCAATAAAAAATTGTACACTTCTGTCATTTTTGTGACTAAGTTACCGTTTTTAAACTAGCTACAAGGAAAACCTAGCAAGCACAAGTGAATGCATTAGCTCCATTCTATGGTATTTTTAAAGCATTAATATTAATATGCAAAAGTCGTAAAATACAATAACACTGTCAAACATTTTATGATTTGGAACAAGGTCTGATTTTTGCCTTTTCCTTATTCTGTTTGCTAATGTCCCTTAAAAGAATGCAAATAGATATATCTATCTGGGCAAAACAAAATTAACTACCACCTTTTGAACATCTTGAATGTTTGTATTTTCATTACAGATGTTCCTTATGTACTGAGAATCATGTTTAGTAGCTTCAGCTTTTTCATATTTCTTCTTAAGAGTTGAATTCCAATGATTTTTTATGGCATTATCAGTCCTGTAAATAAACATATAGTTGTGTAGATTATAACCTAATTTGAATTTCTTTGTTATTACTACAGAAAAGATTTAAGGACACAATTTTCTTTGCTTCGAATTAAGTTACTTACACAAAACCACTTTTTGTTTTAAATGAACAAAATTATGAAATTTTCCAATACTGGAATCACAACAAACTATCTGTACGATTTTAGATACATTTTGGTTAATAAATATACAGTTGTAATAACAGGAGGTAAAGTTATCTACACAAACTAAAGCTTACATTCACACAAATAATTTAAAAGTACACTTTTCTCATATAGAAACACATACATATATATATATAAACAAATAAATAAAAAATTCATGTCTTCATACTATGAACTCATGGAAACTAAAACTAACAGCAAAATTTTTAACCTTTTGGTTATTACATAGAGCTTTATTTAATATAGCATCTGATCTCTGTGCATTAGATGAAATGAGTTTATATGATAAAACATATAACAAAAACAAAATAGATCATGTTTCAAATACCTGTAGTAAAACGAGTGTACAAACACACCACCGAATGACCTAATGTCTCAACATACAAACTTATTTAAAAATGAAGTAAAGAAGAAGAGCACTTGTCTAATTGTGATCGTAAACCTTTTGGTTATTACATAGAGCTTTATTTAATATAGCATCTGATCTCTGTGCATTAGATGAAATGAGTTTATATGATAAAACATATAACAAAAACAAAATAGATCATGTTTCAAATACCTGTAGTAAAACGAGTGTACAAACACACCACCGAATGACCTAATGTCTCAACATACAAACTTATTTAAAAATGAAGTAAAGAAGAAGAGCACTTGTCTAATTGTGATCGTAAACTGACTCGTCTTAACAACATTAGGACACAAACTATGATTTAACAGTTATTAGGCAACTAACATGTTAAAATTCAAAATTATCTTTCATCATCGTATTATAAAGATGATCAATTATGTATGTTTTAGCATTCGTCACCCAGAGTTGGCTAGTTCAATTACCACAAAGTTTCTGTTTGGTGACTGGAAACTGTCTGATGGTGTACACGGGCTATTTTGTTTTTGGATATCTTTCAGAGAAGGGGGGATGAAAAAATTACCCTGAAATTTGGATTTACAGTTTTTATTTTTATAGACTTTTTATACTGAATTTAAAGACACAAGTACTTAATCAGTTAAATGAGTCAATTATTAAGTTACAAAAAGGAGGGTATGCAATTAGCATCTACTGAGGTTATTATGGTTTTAATAACAAAAGAAAGAAGTGGAACATTATCAAACATCGTCCTTCACACTATTTTTTGCTTCAAGGGGAAAGCAATTACAAAGAAGCATAGCAAGATACGTGTGGTAAGTACCCATACCCTGAGGTAACAAATAATGCAATTTTATGACTATCTATATCTTGTTTGTAATGAGCTAAGTGCAAGACACTGCATGAAATGTTGTTTTAAATCACTCTAAAGTAAAGATATTTTCTTTTCATAGTTACGAACAGTTATTTCTAATTTACCTAGAATATAGTGCAATACTTTGCAAAAGAAAAAATATGTAACTAACCAACTTATATTGCCAAATTTCAAAATCCAAAAACAATTCAGCAATATCTATTACCGTGTCAAGATGACGTTGGCAATAAATAAAGATACTGATTCTGTCATTACAGTTGAAATGTTATAATTAAAAGTGCAAAGTAATAAGGGAAAGTTTGTTTGGTGTAAAAAAAAAAACATCTTTTATAATCCATAAAATTATTTTGACTATGTAAATAATACCACAGGGAGAATGATGAATGGACTACACAATAAGACAAATGTGCAAGCTAAACAAATGTTTGTATAATTTACACAGGTATGAGACATGATACACCTTCTTATGCTTACTTGAGTTAAATTACATGTTTTCAAAAGAAAAATGTGTTTATGATGTTTGAACAATGCCAAGATTGAAACATAAGGAAATGTGGGCAAGTGTCTTGAAAGCATCTCCACTAAAAGTAAAACATTTGTTGCATTAAATAAAAAGCTGTTTATTTAATTCTAAAAAATGCCAAAGAACTTAAAAACTTTGTAGAATACTATATTTTCTAATTTTGGCATTACAGTTGTATGCTCACTCAATCAGTCAACATTAGTAACAACAGTAAAAAACTCACTCAACATAAGTAACAACAGCATAAAACACACTCACTCAACATAAGTAACAACAGTAAAAAACTCACTCACTCAACATAAGTAACAACAGTAAAAACTCACTCACTCAACATAAGTAACAACAGTAAAAACTACACTCACTCAACACAAGTAACAACAGCAAAAAACTCACTCACTCAACATAAGTAACAACAGTAAAAAACTCACTCACTCAACATAAGTAACAACAGTAAAAAACTCACTCACTCAACATAAGTAACAACAGTAAAAAACTCACTCACTCAACACAAGTAACAACAGCAAAAAACTCACTCACTCAAC